CCTCTATGATGACATGCAGCATTCTAATACAACTGGTATTCTGAAAAGGGAAAACCTGTGGTTTATTGGTGTTGAAGTAAAATAGATGAGGTTGAATAACTAAAATGGTAGTTTGGCACTGACGTTTGGAGCCTTAGCTCTCCTATTGGTCAGAGCAGACATTTTACTTGCCTCATTGCCACATGTCCTATTCATGGGTATCCTGTGGACTTGATGGTGCACCTCTCCTTAGAAAAATCTTGGATCCGCCCCTGAGATGAATCAAATTGTTTGCCCTGTTAGGTTACCAAAGCTGGGGAGAGAGACATTTTTTGTGAGTGGAGTTACCAAAACAAAGTGTTTTGCTGTACCATAGCCATATGATAAATCCCTTATCAAGTCATATTCTTTAGGACTGAACACTGGCCTCATTCGTTTTCGGTTGTATTGTAAATCAGAAAAAATACACTACCAAGGAATGTCACCAATAACCAGCAATCCTAACCTGACAGTTCATGTATGGCTACTCAAAGGAATAAAAAACGAACAACAGACGAATGGAACCGATCCGTAACAAAGGAAAAGTATTTACAAGGTGACATTTATTTACTGGTATTTTACGGAATTACTGCAAGGCATGCAAATGGAATTTTCTTGTGCATCAGTGAGCTGGCTCACATGGCATGTGGCGTGGAGATATGTGCACATAAGATGTGCCTGAAAACTGAAAACTACGATATTTTTTATCAAATCTGAAAGTTGAAATTGAAGTTTACCATAAAATGCCAAAATCAAGACGAAAGAACCTCCTCCTTACTTCCTCGTCGCTCTCTCAAGGCTTTTTATTGAATCCCCAAACCAGTCTTGAAAGGCCCGCAGGACTGAAAACTATATTATTTAGATATTTTGCTAACCAAACCACGTCAATGAGAATCACAGAAACAACAACTCAAAAATGAAAATGAAATTCATTTACCCGTTCTTGCAGAATGCCGCATCCAACTCGAGTAGAGCTGTCTCTTTCTCTGCAGCCTTGATTTTTGCCAATCAAAGAGAGTCTTTCGTATCAGATGACGAGGTTTTATGTCAACAAGCTGTCAACGATGACATCCTTTGGGATTTCTAAAGCAAGTAAATGATGTTTGGAGCGCAGTAGGGCATCTCTTTTTTCCCAGCAAATTGGCCTTAGAAACAAAATGTTGCTTGCGTATATCTTGGTAGTGTTTGGGTATCTCAACCTGAAATTTTGCATGCTACAACCACTTGCAAAAAGACTTGAGACATTGTACCTAATTTGGACGTCAAGGGTACCTATAAGGCCCTCGCGTTTTAGACCCCCCCCTCTCCCTTCTCAAAGTTGGTCACAATAGGAGATCATGCTGAAATTTTCGAAGAACAACATTGAAAATAGGGGAGGGTGAGGGGAGTTGTTTAATCTTAGAAATGTGGGATTTTATGCGATGTTTAGGAAGAAAGAGTGTTTTCCGGGTCAAGTGTCTCAACATTTTTGCAACTGGTTGTTTGAGTACTGTGACCATGTGTAGGGACCCGGTTCTTTTATGGATCGGCTTAGTAGTTAATGTAGTGATGTCTATTTAGGAGGAGTTCCCAAAAAATAGGGTTTCATGATATTGGCTTGGGCGATGTGAAAATGGCAAACGAAAAAAGGCAATTTTCAGGTGTTTTAAGGATGACGTAATCGGCGCGACTGACGTTTCTTTCGGGTACCAAGGTACAAAACATGCCCGCATTGACAAATAAACAAGTGGCATGAGTGTTTTTTTCATTTCATTTGTCTGTAACGATGTCATTGAAACGTACTTACTGAAAAAAAAGGTGAAACAAGTTTATTTGTGCGCGTTGGTTGAGCAAACAGAGTCCTTAGATGAACAAGATAAGGCTACTCACGTGTTAGAAAGGTACATACAGGAACAGTGCGTTGTGATCGCCTGCCAATCAATGGAGAGAGATTGATGCACGGTAATCAATATTGGAAATCAAACGTTATCGAAGGTAGTCAAATATTCCCTAATTTGTAGGAATTATTTCAAATTAGTCATATTTCACAACATTTGGCGTAATCACACTAAGGTGATTTGAAAGTTACGCTGCATAGACTACAACATTGATGTTCGCACGGCTCGCTGGTCACGGGGTTATTTCTTTGCTGCTTAAGTGGTTTGCAATGGATTTTCTCCAGGAATATGAAAGTAGTGATTCGGAAGCGACAGATGTTTATAACAGCACAAACATTGACGTTAAAGCTAGCGACAGGCGGGCTTCAACGAGTGTTCTAAATGTGAGAGCTGTCCGACAAGTGTATTTAATCACCTATAGTCAGGCGGATTTACACAAGTTCCCTGACAGAAATTCATTCGCGCAAGCTGTTCTCCGCTCTTTTAACAGTAGTAACACAAACGTTGAACACTGGGTTTGTTGCAAGGAAGTGCACGAATCCACGGGGGGATACCACTATCATATGGCAGTGAAGTTACAGCGCTGTAAAAGGTGGTTGTCTTGAAAACGGTACCTAGAAGAAAACTACGGTATCTCCATGCACTTCTCCGACGTACATCATAACTATTACAGTGCGTGGAAATACACCACGAAAAAGGATAAATTTGTTGTGGAAAGTGACGGTCATCCCGACTTGTCCGATTGTAAAGGCCCTAAGACTGAAACGGCCTCACTTTGCCGGAAAAAGTACATTGAAGATAGTGACGACGATGAAGAGGAATTCTCGGAGGAGTTCTATGAAAGTCCTTCTGATGACACGAGCGAGACATACCATGAAAGTGATTCGAAAGGAAAAAGCGGTTGTCTTCTCTTGAACTCTCAGAAATAATTGTAACAAAGGAAATAAAAACTCGCACGCAACTGTTGGCTTATGCGAACAACCAAAAGTGCCAGGGGAAAAACGACATTGTAGAGTTTATTGTCAACAGAGGGCCCCGCGTAGTCTCAGAGGTTTTAACCACAGCGTGGGAAATGCGGAACGCGCAACAGAAGCTGGAAAGATCACAGAAAACTCGTGTTCAAATCTTACAAGAAGCAGCACAAGGCGAATGTATTGACGGTTGTCATGGACAGTGGCTCGCTTGTGCATGTGAGGTGTTACAACAAAATGGTATTCGAAAGGAAACTTTAACAAAGGCAATAAAAGAACTCCTGGAAAAAGGCCGTAGCAAATTTCGAAATCTTATGATCTGCGGCCCAGCAAACACAGGGAAGACATTTCTACTAAACCCACTCACAAGTGTGTACAGAACTTTTTGCAATCCCGCTTGCACGTCTTTTGCGTGGGTTGGAGCGGAAGACGCAGAATGCATTAATTTTCTTAAATGATTTTCGCTGGTCATCTCAAATAATACCGTGGCATGATTTTCTTCTTTTGCTTGAAGGACAGATGGTGCATCTCCCGGCACCCAAAACTCATTATGCAAAGGACATTGCTTTGGAGAAAGATACTCCTATTTTCTGTACAGGAAAACAGCCTTTCGTTTATATTAAAAAGTGCGTGATCGATGAGCGAGAAACGGAGATGATGTCTGTAAGGTGGAAGATCTTTCAATTAAATGTACAGATACAAAAAGATGTTCAAAAGGAATTGCGAAACTGCTGTAAATGCTTTGCTACCTTTATATTACAATGATGAAAAGGTCGTTTGCGTTAGGACAGAAGTGACAAGAACTAGCGAACTAAGCACTGACGATCTACACGGTCTACCATAACAAGTGACTTTAAAAATACATATGATATCATATTTCTTACTGTTGTGATGGTAGACCGTGCTTATGGTAGACCGTCAGAAAATGAAATAGGACAAAGATAAGTGTCTAATTCCAGAGTGAATTTTATTTGAAAGCATTTCTTTGCGTTTAAACAACGATAAATACATGAGCGAGATATTCCACAGAGATCTACTATTTCCTGCACAGTCAAGTCACCTTCTTCACGAAGAAATCTCACATATGCCTTGCTTTCAGCGTCTATTTTTCCTGTGTAAACCATGTTGTTTTATGCCACGACAGAAGAGCATGCGCTACATTACGTCACAAACAAAAACTACAAAATTGGACGAATTCGAAGGAGGTTTTTGGAGTACAGAACGTGCAATTAGAAACCTCAAATGTGTATCAATGTACTAAGCAGACGTTCTCTTCAACGAATAACCTGTGCAAATTTCCCGTTCTTCTAAGACAACCGCGAAATCGAATAACAACTTACCTCTGCATTTAGACAACCACTTGCAAAAAGACTTGAGACATTGTACCAAATTTGGACGTCAAGGGTACCTATAAGGCCCTCGCGTTTTAGACCCCCCCCCTCTCCCTTCTCAAGGTTGGTCACAATAGGAGATCATGCTGAAATTTTCAAAGAACAACATTGAAAATAGGGGAGGGTGAGGGGAGTAGCTTAATCTTAGAAATGTGGGATTTTATGCAATGTTTAGGAAGAAAGAGTGTTTTCCGGGTCAAGTGTCTCAACATTTTTGCAACTGGTTGTAGTTCCTGATGTCATTGCCTTTGCAGTACTAAAAAAAATTTTGGCAATCCGAAACAGTCACTTTAACCTTCAGGAATACCTTACCACATATATAATATGGGGGAGGGGGGGGTGCCTGGGGGCATGTTGAAGCTTTGATTTCACTGATGCATGAAAGGAAGACTTGCATATAGCGGAATCCATTGTTTTTACTCTACATTGTTATTCATGGTCTGTTCTTTATCCATTGTCATCCCCAAACATCTATGATAATCTACGCTTTGTTTTACTCAACATTTTTTCAGTTTCCGGTAAGTTTAGGCTTATATGAAACACAGCGTGACATAAGTCATGATGGGACCCAAACAAGCAAACATCAAGCAACAATTTACAATAGAGAGTAACTTCAATTGGGTAATTATCAAAACGTAAGTTAACAAACCTTTGATTTCATTTGGTTTATTTTCCTTTTGATTGTGTTAAGCTCTGTTGTCATTGCACGAGACTGATAAATGGCACGTTGTGTGATCTCTTTGCATTTTTTCATAAGTACGCCACATCAAACCAGTTGCTCTTCGAAAAAGGCATTGCTGTTCTCTGCAAAACATGCAGTACATTTTAAGTTGTATATCTCTGGCACAAAAAAAAATTGAAGAAAACAAGAAACATATGATTCTTACCTGATTATCAATGGACTCTTGGAAGACTAAATTTAAAGTGGTGAAAGCAAGGATAAAAAACCTTTGCAAACACTTTAACAGCACAAAATAGGACTTCAATACTGTGCTTTTGAATGAGTCACATTCATCATCCTTAATAAAGTGGAATATAATTGATCGAAGCTAGGAAAGTTTGGTATCATCAGAAAGCTCCGAAAATGCATTTTTCGCCTCGTGCAAAACAGAGCCGCCTCGAGTATCCCAGGAGGCAGCAAGAGAGTTTTCTTTTATGTAAATTAGCTCAGAACCAGACTACTGGCGATATTCAAGTTTTGGGTAACATTTTTGAAGACAATCCCATGCCTGTTTTGACTGCCTACTGATCTGGCGTGAGACACTTTCCCTGGCCAGTCTTAGGCACCCGTCTTTGCTAATATGCTATCTGTGAATTCTGGATAGGACTTCAGGCCTAAGGGATATCATTGATCTCCTTAAATGTGATTCCATCTTCGACTGAGAGCTGGTCATGCACATCAAAAAATGGCTTGATTTTATGAGGGTAGTCGTTCTAAGTCTCAGGCCACCCATTCTTGCCTACTTTCTATGGGGCTTGTATGGAGCGGTCTCATTGCCTTAGTGTACTTTGTCTCTAAATTAGTGCGTTGGATCAGTAGGAATTCAGTCATCTGTGTTTCCTCGATTTCCATTTTGACGGAAAGGACTTCATCTCTTGAATTTTGCTTCAGGGGTGCTGTTGATAGTGTGTCAGCGAAGTACATGTGTTGCCTTAATTGGTTTCAAGTAGATTTCAAGGGTATATTTTTGTGACCAAAGCAGCATTCTTTGAAGATGCTTAGGAGCTGTGATAAGAGGCTTTTTGTAAATAACCTCCAGTGGTTTGTGGTTTTACACTTTTCAATGGTAAGTTTACTGATTCAATTTCTCTGCTCCAAACTTGATCGCTAAAAGTTCCTTTTTGATCAGTGCATAGTTGCACTTTGTATCCAGTGAGTCACTCGTATGCCACTGTCTGGTCATTTTGAAGGAGTGTGGCTCCAAGACCAGTATTTGATGCATTGCACTGAAACGCGTCTCCTGAGCTGGATTAAAATACCTTGAGACTGGTGCTTGACTGGTGGCTTGCTTGATTCATTTGAATGGGTTCTCATGGGCCTCACTCCAAAAGCAGTCAACATCTTTGTGGGTCAATTGACGTACAGGTTGGCATATCTCTCCTAGAATTTCAATGAATCTTGTGACATAGTTTACTAGGCTAATGAGCCGCTGAACACTTTTCGCAATTCGGTTGGTCAGCCCATGTTTTAAATGGCTTCTACCTTAGATTGGCCCGGTCCCAGACCATCTTCAGGTAGCATGTGATCAACGTAGGGAACTTTGGACATCTTCAGTTTCAACTTGTCCTTGTCTAGTTGTACACCCTTTTCTCTGCATCTTACGAGGAGGGTGAGAAGATTCTTTTTGTCATCCTTGACAGCATCTTTGAATGTATCATCTTTACCAGAGATAAGAATGTCATCTGCAACTGTATGTGCACCTGCGAGGCCTGCAATTTAATCAGTCAATCAAACCTTATCTATAGAGGGTAACACCTAATAGTCAGACAACTAATAAACTTGTAGCCCTCTTAATTAGAAATATGCTACAAGAGAAAAGAAAATATGCCGTATAAGGGAGCAAAATGTACAAACTAGACTAAAGAGAAGTACACATAACTGCATAATCCAAAATTTATTCTCTAGAAAAGGAGTAAAACTTATATCCCTAAACTGACTTGATTTAATTTGGTGACATAAAGCACCCTTTAAAATTTTTATGGATGAAGAGGAACAGATCTTAACAAGAAGGTGATTCCAACATTTACAAGTTGCCACAGAGAATGTGTGACCACCCTCTTTCGCTCTTTTGTATCTTCAAGGCAATATGTTAAGATTGGCGCCTCCTTCTATGCTGGCTTCTGTTAGTTCTAATAGTTCATTTATGCAATCAGGTGTCACATGTTACTCTGGTTGGCGAAAAAAGTCACGTGTAAGTCTATGCTTATACTTTCAGTTAACGTAGTGCTTAGATTTGAGATCTGGTATATTAGTTTTTGTGTCCCATCTCCAAATTCAACCTTCAGCATATGTAGACCTCGTTTGATTTTTACATTTTTGTTCTACATCTTTAAGCTCTATAGTTTGTTTGTTAATCTGAATGGTATTTGATGTGATAAGACTCTCAAATTTCTTGTTAGTCTCGCTTGCTTTAGCAAAGCGAGAATCTTAAAATGCAGCTGTTTTTTTTTTTTTTCCGGTGGGACCTAGTTTGTAGGCCCTGCGTTCCTAGCGAAGACCGTGGAAACTGGGGATAAGAATTG